AGGTTTTGAAATTCCGCTGATTCCTGCGGTTTTAAAGGGACAAGCGAGGCAACGCTATAGATTTTTTTGTCGTGGAGTTCTTATGGATTTTGTTGCTCCATAATCCGTAACGCTCCCGCTCTGTCCTTATTGGCGTAATCGGTTACGACAGTTTTTTTAGGTCAGCTTAACGGCGTTAGCGTTGCGTTGCGTGTCGCGTGCGCGAAGCCTATAGTCAAGTCACTGGGGGGGACCCGATAGGCAAGAAAATCCATATTTCTGCCTTGCCAGCTCCTTAAAAAGAACCGGCATCGACCCGCTCTCTGAATTGGATCTAAACAACCTTGCATCCCTCCAAAACGCCCTTGAAAAACCTTAAAAATCTTCCTAAAAATAGCGCAAGTCCCGGGTGCAACGTGCCACCCGCGATCCATAGAGATCGGGGCGCAACAAGTGGATTGATATCCTGGGGGCATTCATCACTCCCTCTCACTCTCTCTCTCTCTCTCTCTCTCTCTCTCTCTCTCTCTCTCTCTCTCTCTCTCTCTCTCTCTTTCGCCCTATCTCCCACGACTTTTGGCCCTTATTTTTTGCCTTTGGTCTGTCTGTCGGTGGCCATGCTGAGTGCCCATCCCTTTTCCACTACCACTTTCCAAGAAAAGCTTCTTCTCATTTCCTAGAGTACCCAAATAAGCCCCCCAAAAAAGGCCGGAGGTACCCGGAAAATGATGTTTTTCGTTTTTCTGGAGTGGGTTTGTCTATGTCTCTTTTACCGCTTTGAGATGGTTTTTGACGTTTGAATTTTTGAGGTGTATTTGAGGCCGAATTTTGGTAGGAAAGCAAGCTAGCAGGGGGTTATATCACAATTTTCGAATCCAAATGAGCACATGCTGATTGAAAGAAAGGCTAGCACAGGTTATTGTGGAAATTTTCAGCATCCACTGGTCGGAATACAAGCTGGCAGTGATTGCTTTGGATCCTTGATGCCCAAAAGGAAGATTTACTGGCCAGAGGGCCGGCTAGCAGACTTCCCTGGGGAATTACGAAATCTAGGGCAGGCTAGCAAAGGTTTCTCTGGAAGCTTCTACGCCTAATAGACGACCAAGCAGACAAGCTAGCTTCGATTTTGGGGAAATTTGCCTGCTTGAAAATGATCCAGACCGTGACTTCACAATCCCTTTAAGTTATCAAGTTCCCCAATCTCTAGTGGGCGTAAATTTGTCGAGTTTAAAGCGCTGACCACTCGGCCTTACCAGAGCCTCTGGTGAGTGATCGTGACACTGATGGACAGACGCGAAAAGTGGTGTCGATTATTTACGCGACACTCCCCGTTGACGCCACTTTTTAGAGGCAACAGTTGCGTCGCGTACGCCTTTTTTTCTTTTAAAAGGGGCCAGCTCTGGAAACGAGACTCTTGGTGGGGCTTGACAAATTTTCTCTCGTTTCTTCGTCGATCTTTGAGCTCGAAACGTGCCTGGAAACATGGGTTTTTGGGGGTCTTTTTAAGGTGCTTAGGTTGCAGATAGGAACTTGGAGTCTAGGGGTTTTAAAGGGGCTGGGAAGGCAAAAATCTGGCTTCCAAGGAACTATAGAGGCGGTTTTTCAAGGGGCTTCACTGATTTATTGGGATTTTTCGAAGTTTTCCCACCGCAATTGCAGTTTCCGCTTTGTACGGTAGCGTAACGTATACAGTACGGCCACGTACTTTCGCGCGTGGTGTGCTGTAATGTACTATAATCCCTCTTGAAACAAAACCGACACTTGCTAATGTTTTTGCCATGACAAAGCGAATTTTTGGAACATTCACTGCAATTTCTGTTTTTTTATAGTGTAGTGTTTTGTACAATGAAATTTAGCCTACGGTAGCGTAGCGCTGCGTAATCCGGGGTGCCATTTGGGACTCGATAAAGTAACTTCGATACCTAAGGCCTGTCTCAATGCTTGTTTTTTTGTTAATTGCAAACCGCCATTTTTTGTAGTTTTTACGCTTTCCGGTGCTGTAATTGGTGTATTTTGTAGTGCTACGTACTGCGAATTTTTGAAACTCAAACCGAAGTTTGACAAACTACGCTTCTACTCCATCTTGCAAGTGCAAACTCTAGCTCACAGGTCAGCTGGGAGTGGTTTTTGACTGTAGTTTTTGGGTATTCATGGCCGACTCCCGCTCCACTAACATATGAAAGAAATCCAGGAAAGGCCCGATCGAGGGCCAGGAGTAGTCTAGTTGGGTTTTGTTGCTTGATGTCAGTTTGAAACGTTTTTCAGATTTTCTCTCTCAGTCTCTCGCTCCATCTCTCTCTCGCTCTCTCACCCACTCTCTCTCTCTCGCTCTCCCTGTCGATCTGCTTAGACCTCTTGCAGCTATAAAGGGACTTGGAAGTGCGAAAATCAGGCCTACCCTCCGACTCGGCATAGACAACGACGCTACACCAGATGACTCGTTTTCGCGCGTCATCTGACTAAATATGGATTCTATGCACTACCCTAGAGATGGAACAATCAACGCCTTTTCCGAACAATCAATCATCAGCGCCATTTGGGGCAACGCGTAGTTGTGGAAGCCAAGTAAAGCCACGACGTTGATCCATGAATTCCCAGTCCCTTTAAACCCGCCAATCCTCCCAGCTTCCAACCGCCCAGCTCCAAGTTGTTGTTCTCCTCCTCTGCCTCGTGCCGTCACGCACTCAGCCGATTGCCGAGTGAGTGTATTTCGTTATTGTTGTTGGCCTCAGGGTAGCAAAGAACGGGGGTGCACGACCGTGTTCCGCCCGACTTCACTTCCCCTCCCCAGCCGTTCCCCCATTTTTTAGGGGGCCCCCCAGGAAATGGGAGGGCGTCTAAAGGGGCAAAAAACGGAATCAAAAGACTGAAAAAAGGGGGATTTGGAGAACTAGTGCTTGGGGTGGTGGGGGGTGACCCGGTCCGGACTTCCTATGAATATTCGAGGCCGATGAAGTGGACACAAATACAAATCCCCAGGGGGGAGTCGGGTACCTGGAAAATCGGGCCGTCTGGGGGCTTCTGGGAATCGGGGTTGGGTCATGGGGCGGGTAAGGAGCTGGTGTGTTGCTCAAAACTCTGGATAGCTTTTCCGGGGTTTTTTTTACCCTCTTGGGCACCTAAAATATCCCTGCCAGCTTGCCGCATGCCCCTTATCAGTCCCAGGCTTCCCAAGTGCTCTCTGCTATTGGCTTACTACGGGCTTGTACTCTCTCCGATTTTTTTCAGATGACCTCTTATAGCTTGCTAGTGCTTACAGTGGTCGTCCCCAAATGGCCTTTGCTAGCTTGCTTGAGCTTGTTCTCGTTACCGGATTTCCGAAAAGGTCTCTACTAGCTTGCCCTTTTATTCGGGGCTATTACTGGGCATCTCTAATGGTCCCTGCTGGCTTGACTTGGGCTCTCACTGGCTACTAGGGTTTTCAAATCATCTCTGCTATCTTTTCAGGGGCTCATTCGCACTGAGCTCGTTCTCATTCCCTGACGTTCTTAAATAATTTCTGCTAACTTGCCTTACGCTCTCTCTCATACCCGGACTTCCCGAATCGTCTTTGCTAGCTTGCCTGGGCCAGAGCTTTCGATCAGATTTCGCAAAGGAACTCTGCTAGCTTGCCCTGTCTTTGTGCTCTTTATGGGAGATTCCCCGCTGACTTGTTATCACTAAGTGGCTTCCCAAGTAAACTCTCTTAGTTAGTCCCTCGCTTGCTCTTACTATGAGGCTTCCACAGTAATTTCTGCTAGCTTGCCATGGAATGATGTTAGAAATTGGGCTCTCCCAAATAGTCACCGCTAGCTTGCCTTGGCCTAGTGCTTACGGCAGGCATTCAGCAATAATCCTTGCTATCTTGCTTAGACCCGTCCGTCCTATATAGCCTCTGCTAGCTTGCCCGAGAGCTTTGTCAGAAGCCAAATCGACTTTATCAGCCGATTTTATCTCTAGGTTTTCTAGGTTTTTGTCGCCAACGGCCTCTGCTAGCTTGCCCTCAATTTCGGATGGTGTTTTCGCAAGGAATCTCTGCAAGCTTGCCCCTTTTCACTTTCCATTAGCAGGCTTCCGAATATTTTCGTTCCAAAAACTAAAAAAAACCTTTTTTGATGTTTAAAAGTTGCGTGGCCCATTTTTTGCCTTTTCCTTCTTGACATAAGATCTCAAAAATACATCTACAGAGGCTCTTAGGGCTTTTCCTGTTATTCATAGGGGCCGTTCTCCGGTTTTAAAACGTGCCCTCAGCTGCGCGTTCCTCACCGCTGCTGGGGGTCGAAATTCTCCGGTTCATCTCGGGTTGCAACGTTTCGACGAGCTGCCCCGAACTTTGAGCCGATCTTGGTTCAGGGGCAACAGCTGACACAGTTGACTAGCATAGCAATATGATGATGAGGATGGGGAATAGGGATATTTCCTTACTCATTGTTCGCCAGGGATGACTAATTGTTTCGTTATTGTTCGCTTTAATAGGGCCTATATGGGGCAGGTCAAGTTGGTCTGTAATTACTCCCAGACCTACATCCCTCTAAAGGGGCGGTCAAGGCACCGCTTTTGAATTTTTGGTTTTCGATGCCTTATAGCCATGCAACGCGTGCTATTGTCCTTCCATTGCTGAGGGATCACGAACTTTTCAACTTTGAATGTTGCGCGCGTTGAGAAACCCATCGTTCTGCCTTGTGGATCCTTTTAGAGAAAATTTTAAGTGAAGGCCATATAATTTCTTGGCTGTGGTTTCGCTATTTATTTTGTCGCACCCGCGACACGTAACGCAAGCACGTTTTTATTGATTGAGCAATGGATTACGCCATTTTATGCGGCTAATCGGAGCGTGCGTTGTGTGTCGCGACGCCGTATGCAATTATGACTTCTATTTAAATCTGCATCGATTTACTAAATACGATATACTCGAAATCCTATTTCTTGAGCCCCAGTACGGAGCAAAATATCGGAATCAACGGTTCAGACCCATCAATCTCGTAATTAGTCCTGAAATGTGCATAGTATCACATCGTACGCCTCTCTTTCCAGTCCGACTAATGTCGGGCGAGCTGCGGCATCGCCCACCGGCGCCTCCGTATGAAGAAACGACACCAAGAGGGGCACTTGAGCATCACCATCACCATGATAAGGTATGACGATCGGTTAGGCTACGAAACTAGTCAATTTTCTGGCGTCCCGGACCCTTACAACGCAGAATTGCCCGTAAACTTCTAGTTTTAGCACCACCTGGTCAGCCCGCACTCTTCTGAAGGCTCCGTCAGCGATGTCCCATCGAAATGGGAAGGTAAAAGCAAGACCGGATTACGGTAGAACGTCATACTTTAGAATTCTGTGACAAGACGACAGCACACGGCTTCAAGCGGTATCTGCAGGCCCACAATCGGGTGTCGGGATTCTTGTGGATGTGCATCATCATCGCCTTCGCCGTCGTTTTCATTATTTTAGCGGCGTATCTGGGGGCAAAGTATCGAAGACGGGAGAAGATCACCTCGATTTCGGTACTGTATCCAGGAAACCGTAGCATTGAAGAGATATTGACATCCCCGCGCCGTGCTTGGGCGCTTCTAACCGGCTACAGACTCGCAACGCGCCCACAGCGCGCTACACCCTAAGCTGATAGACCGCTTTCAAGGGTGGCTTACGGCTTTGAATTCCCGAAAGGCTTGTCGCGACACGCGACGCACGCCGCTCGGTCGTCGCAATTCGTAACCGATTACGCAACAAAACAGGGAACGGTCGCGTTGCGTGTCGGGGCCGGAAATACATAAATGCAGCAAAAATTCTAGAGTTAGAACTTTATCATCAAAATTATAATATCGCGACGCGGCCGCGACGCGGTGCGTATGACTGAGCTGTCGGAATCTAGGTAAAATCGTAACTTTAACCTGCTGTTGTGACCGAATTTCGCCGGGGTACGGTCACAGGAGCGCCGATTAGAAATAACCCCGTATGCTACGAAACGCTCCTAATCCCTGATATGAAAAAGAGAAAAGATAAAAAAGGCTACAAAAAATCAGAAAATGCATTTTGCCGCAAAGATCGCGCTGATTTTCTACCGAAACGATTCCATTTCCAGCTGAAATTCGACGACGTCATGTTTCCGGCGATCACGTTTTGCAACCTGAACCCCTACAAGAGAAGCCTGATTCGAATGGTGCCCAGTATTAAAGATACGGTAAGCAATTTTATTTCTGCGCTTATGTAAAACACTGGTTTAGATGGACGTCTATGACAACGCGAAAACATCAAGTAAATCCGACAGCGACAAGCCGAAATATTTGAGGCGTGAGCAGGCGGCGATTGCGATGCAAAGGTGTGTAGCCTATAGTTTTCCGTCTTTTTGTTTTAATTTCTAACTTTTTCGTGCATATCTTGTAGTGTACATAGTTGGGATTTTTGCATTTTGTAGCTCTGAATAGCTTTGTGTAGTTTGTGGCCTATCGTCTAGCTAATGTTTGTTTTATGTGTAGTTTGTGGCCTGTAGCCGGGCTTTATGTAGTTTGTAGTTTGTATTCTATGGTGTTATGTAGTTTGCAGTTTGTAGTTCCTGCCATGAGGTAAAATCCAATTTTCAGGGTGCGTGACCTATTCGCCGACGAGATCCAGGACGAGGTGGAAAAATTGGAACGCGCTGGCGGCGCTCGACACGCACGTATTAAAAGACAGGTAAAATTGCCTATAGCATAAAAATTTAAATTGGAGGTGATAGTATCTACCTTGTATGCTTTTATTTTCATGGCGTAATTCATTATTTTACAGACAAAAAGACGCTACGAGGCCATCGAGGCGCACTGTAAATGCGTGGGGAAGTTGGACATGGAATGTATCCGGTTTGAGAGTCCGCCGTCGCACCAGGTACTCTTTTAACTTGTAAAACCGGGTTATCCTGAAAACTATAAGCACTGGAAAACGCTAGGAAAAGCGTCCTGAAAGCTATCCTGAAAGCTATAAGCACTAGAAAAGCACGGCCCCTTACTTTTCCTTAAAAATGTCTAAATTTCTCAGAAAATCTTGCCAAAAATCACAGGGCATTAAAAAACAGAGGTTCATAGCTATATGATTAGGCTATGAAAATAGACCTGCAAAATACCCTGAAAAATTACAGCTAAAGGCATCCCTCGAAGCCCAATTTTTGCTTGAAAGCGTTTAATAAAGATGAAAGGCCGAGATACGTTTTGAAACAATCACGCTATGAAAAGCTATCTGAAAATCTTTTAAGAAATTTTTAAGCTAGAAACACTGTAGAAAATTTTGAAAAACTTATTAAGCGTTTTACAAGGCAGAAAAGTATTTGAAAGATGGTTATTTACCGATTCGATTATGCTACAAAAATTTCTAGAATTTGTAAAATTATTTTAATGCTCTCTTATTGTTATTCTTATAAATTACAACCCATTACGTCACATAAACATTTCCAGGATGCCAAATGTGTGTGCACGTACGACCACGATCTGCAGCAGGCATGGCCTTGCTTCAACCAGAGGTGAGTCAGCCCTCCCACACAGGGAAGAGGCCCTTCCCGCGCCCCTCCCGCAGTGCCGCATTAGCTCAGTTGGTAGAGCGTCAGACTTTTAATCTGAATGTCAGGGGTTCGAGCCCCCTATGCGGCTAATCCACTTTTTGCTTTTTTGCTTTTTCGGTTGAGGGTTCGGAATGGTATTCCTAGACCGGACGCTTTTTCAATTAGTCCATTTTAGCATTTGGTACGACCATTTGTGCCCATCATGTACTTCGGAAGGCTATTGTGACGCGTCGTTGGACGATCAGGATGAAGCTCCGCTTCAGAAACCTCAGAAATGCAAATGCCGGAACAGGACGAGTGACTATGAGGTCGACGATGTAGGTGCACGGGAATGCTTCGAAATAATAGTATTAAATATTCTTTCAAACTGTTACTAACTTATTAACACAACTCTCTCTCCATCTCTCTCACTCACTCTCGCTCATCTCTCTCTCCCTCTTGCTCTCTCTCACTAACGAACTAACCTTTCCCCTCATCACCCCTTTAGAGATACTACCATGGATTGTGGTACCTGGTCAGTTTCTTAACCCAAGCCACCTGATTACTACGGTATTTATGGCACGAAATAGAGGACACTGAATTTGAAAAGTACACACCATAGATTTTCACCTAAATATGAGTACATAATAAATGAATGCCTTTTTCAGAAGCCCTACTGTATCAGCATGGCCCCACAGGAGATTCGCAAACTGTGGAAACCGTCGAATCGAAGTGATTTTTTTCATCAAAAACCGAGATTTAGAATTTTTTCTTTAGTTGTAGCTTTTGTAGCACTGGTTTTGAAGCTAGAAACTTAATAGATATTTTAAACAATTATTATGTCGTCTTTTTAGCCGACCCAACCACTACCACCACTACCACTACTCCCGCTACCACCACAACGACAAGTAATTTTTTGTGTCTTAATCGCTCGATTGCGACTAATTTGAATGGGAATGACGGCTGATATTTATTGGCTTTTTGTAGCGCCGGCCATCACGACGACGTCGACCACGACAACGACTACAACGAGTAATTTTTTAGTATGATTTCGATTAAGAAAAAATAGATAGGTTTTAAGCGGTAGTTTAGGTCCCTAAAGTTGGTGTTGTTTTAAGTTAGCGCTGCAAACTTCTAGCAATTTCGTTTAAAAGGAATTTTAATTTAACGGAATTTTAAAAAGCTTTCACGATTTAAAAATCGTGAAAATCTACCCCTTTTTGCCACTGGGTCTGGACTACGTAAGACGCCAAATGACGTGTTACGTCTCGTTTTAATATCGTCTAGAGATGTCGGTGAGTCTTAAAAGCTCAAGGACGCGTAGCCGTCTAGGCCTAGCTGCACCAGGGGTCGATTTTTGAACTTTCTCGTCCCTTTAAAGTGCATTCTAAAGCAAATTCGGCACAGCAGCCGTTTTTTAGAAAGTGAAGTTTCATCTTAGCATAGCGTTTGGTATAGCCTCTGTAGCCAAGAGCATGTTAGGCACGACAACCACTACCACCACCACCACCACCACCACCACCACAAGTACGACTACTACAACGACGACGAGTACGACGAGTACATCGACTACCACTACCACCACAAGCACAAGTATCGAGCTTTTGTCATTGGCTAACGCGAGGGGCATGAATACGGAAGGCGTATAAAAAGCATAGAAATTAGGATACCTCAAAGTACGTTACTTTCCAGCCAACTACCATAAACCCGGGCAGAATGCGCGTGTGTACGATCCGGAGACGCTGAAGGCGATGGGTTTTGGGGTAAGGGAGAGAGAGAGAGAGAGAGAGAGAGAGAGAGAGAGAGCGAGAGAGAATGCGAAACTGCAAACTACACCCGACCTCCTAGGGAATGACGGACGGTGTGGCGATGCTCACGAGGGCGAAAGAAAACCTGATGTTCACGATGGCGGCGCTGTCGGTGGAGCAGAGAGTAGCATTGAGGTAATTTTCGGTTGAATTGTTTGTTTTAAAGGGACAGTGAAGTGAAATCCACAGCCCTAATTTTGTCACATTTGCCTTTTCAGCTACGATCTGCCGGAATTCGTGGAAATGTGCTCGTTTAACGGGGAGCAGTGCAATATCGATACGTAAGCAGATAGAAATCATTTTTACAAATTACACATTTTTTTACACATTTTTTTACAATCAATCTTTTAGTGCTAAGATAGTTTTAGATCGGTTTAGTTTGGATGAAAACTGAAAAATTAGCATATCAACCTGAAGAAAACCTTGAAAAGCGGTTTCAGCGATTTCCGCCGCCACGTCGACCCGGAGTTCGGCAACTGCTACACTTTCAACCACGACGTCAACAGCAATTTCACGAGTAGCCGTGCGGGGCCGATGTATGGTAAGTGATTCGGAGCTCGCTCTCTCTCTCTCTCTCTCTTTCTTTCTTTCTCTCTCTTTCTCTCTCTCTCACTCCCTCTGGCTCTCTCTCCCTCTCTCTCGCGGGCAAACTCACGCTTTTTCTAGGCATCCGAGTACTTCTCTTCGTGAACACCTCCGACTACATGTCAACCTCCGAGTCTTCCGGAGTCAGATTGTCGATCCATTCGCCCAGCGAATACCCGTTTCCGGATACTTTTGGCTACAGCGCACCCGTGGGATTTGCCAGCAGTTTTGGTATCAAAAAGGTAGGTATCCATCTCTCTATCTCTTATTTCTCTGTCTCTCTCCCGCTCTCTTTTTCTCTCGCTCCCTCTCATTTCCTCTTTGACTCTATCGCCCACCTTCAGAAACGCGTGGAGCGCATGTCGGAGCCGTACGGTGACTGCGAGACGGACAGAAATATGACTGGCAGAAATGAATACATCTATCAGGGATACGACTATCATCCAGAGGTAGCTCCAGGTTACGGTATGAAACACGCGATTTCAGGGTTGCTACCGATCGTGCTTCCAAAATGCCTTGCTTCGCGAGTGTGGCTGTGGAGATCCACGATTTCCGGTCCCGATTGGGAAGCGTCATTGTTCGGCGTTTAGCAGTCAAGAAAGTGGGTCGAGAAAGAGAGAGAGAGAGTGAGAGCGAGCGAGAGAGAGTGAGCAAGAGGGGGATAGAAAGAGAGTGGGAGATGCCTAGAGGGTGTGAGTGTGTGTCAGGCGTACTGGTCCCTTTAGAAGTTCTGGAAGCGCCGAAATATACCCTCCAATATCGACTAGGTCTCGACAGCTACGCTTAGCGCGAAAGTGTCGTCAAACAATGATTTTTGGGCCATTTTGAGACCCATAGCGCTACGAATTTCAGCCATAAGGTGCCATTTGGCGTGACGCGTAGTTGTCGATACCTAGTCGAGGCTAAGGGTCCATTTTGACGCTTACTATTCCCTTTAAGCTAGAAAATTTACCTAAAATCCCCCAAATTTAGGAAACTGCTTGGCAAGTCGTGTGGGTGATGCCAGCAATTTCCACCACGCAACGCAGGACATGGAGAATTGCTACTGCAAGCAGGTCGGGCCTTGGCGATTTTTGGGGTATTATCAGGGTTTATTGCCTTAATCTCTAAACCATAATTCTGGGGTTTAGAGCTGCAAACAGGACCTGTTCGAGGTGACCTTCTCGGCGAGTAAATGGCCGTCAGGTGCCACTGACGTAAGTTTTTAACGGATTTTGGTAGTTTTAAAATTTATGGCGGATTGAAAGGGCCGGTGTCAGCGCAGTTTTGGTGTTAAATTGCAAATACAAATAAAATTAAAATTAGTATACCAATTTTTAACGAATTTTAAGCATTAAAATTAGGGGTTTCTCGTCCCAAAGTGATTAAAAACTTAACTAATTTTTTATTTACTTATTTCCAGGCCCAAATGGATCGGGTAAACCCTTTAAATACTTTCTTACACTAGCCATACTAGACCATTTTTGCCTGCTCTTTTTCTATCAGCTGCCCCCGACTTGTAATCCCCGGCGATGATCGTTTTGCTTGTGTGCCATTTTCCAACCCCATTTTTCTAAAATTTCTCGTGAATTTTAATATTTAATGGCATTACATTACGATTCTTTTTTAGAGTGCGGCTGAAAGGGTGAGTGATTGGCTCGAAAATTCGATTTCGTATATCCCCCCGCAAGAATTCTCGATTTTTGCTTAGAATGTCGACCCCAAAAAAATATATTTTCTCCCTTTCCCTGGAATGACCGATCGATTCCTCGCATCCAAATCCATACCCCGGTGGTACCGATTTTTTTTAAATTTACAAAAATTCTAATCTTCGATTTTCAGCTTGGCGACTGTGAGGGGATGAGCACGGCAGAATGTGAGGATTATTATCGACTGAATGCGGCCATGATTGTCGGTTTTTCGCAAGCTTTTATTTTTGCCGCAACCGCGACACGCGACGCAATGCGCCGCTTGTCGGTTTTCAGCAGTCATAATTGATTACGCAATTAAAAGAGGGCCCGCGTTGCGTTTCGCGAGTGCGCAAAATTTGACAAAGAACCGAATTTCTCGAACCCTTCAAAATGACCCTTTAGGAAATCTTCTACGAGCAGCTCAACTACGAGTTTCTGCAGGAAACCGAGGCGTACGGTGTAAGTTTCTCAAAACAGAGAGATATAGAGAGTGAGAGAGGGAGGGAGAGAGAGAGTGAGAGAGAGAGGGAGAGAGAGAGAAAGAGCGAGAGAGAGAGAGCGAGAAAGATAGTGAGCGAGAGAGCGCGAGAGAAAGCGAGAGCCAACGAGAGAAAGAGCGAGACTGAGAGATAGAGGAGTGAGAGAGTGAGTGAGTGAGCGAGAAACAGTGAAAGAGAAAAGAGTGGGAGACCGGGCGAGAGAGAGCGAGCGACAGGGTGTGCGAGAGAGAGAGAGAGAGAGCGAGAGAGAAAATGCAGGAGACAAAGTGAGAGCGAGATGGAAGGAGAGTGAGAGAAAAAGCACGAGAAACAGAGAGCAAAACTGTATTTCCTTCAGATGGTCAACCTCATCGCCGATTTTGGAGGTCATCTCGGACTCTGGATGGGTAAGAATTTCCCAACCCGTACCTGAGTATTCCCCGAATTCTCAGGCTTCTCCGTGATCACCGTCATCGAATTCATCGTGCTGGTGGGCGAGCTGGGCATGACGTGCTTCAGGAAAAAGGAGATCGAGCCGGGCAATGAGGTCAGAGTGCTTTTCAAGGGCCCTAGCTATATTCAACTTTTCAGGACCGGCTTCACCCCATCGAACAGGGCAAAATCAACCCGAATGAGACGGAGAAGGAGCCGCTGTCTGCAAAATAAGCAGAAGAAGATGTTCTCGAAGTTTCCAAGTTCTTTTAAAGGGTCGAGCAAGGCAGCGATATGGAATTGTCTGGCGTTGGGTTCGGTCGAGATTTTAACCCATTACGCTATAGAAATTCAGGCGCGCGTTGCGTGTCGCGGGTCGTGTGGAGAAATTACGATCGAAAACTACGCTAAAAGACCAAATTCCATCGCCCTACCATGTCAGTCCCTTTAAAAATTGTCACCTGTGATTTTTCCGGTCCCATTTTGCCAAAAAGTCTAGTCATTACGCATTGTATTACTATTTTTTAAGCCTATTAAATTTTCATTGCTCATTGTTTTCTTAAAAATCGTACTTTTTTGCCTGATTTTCCAACCGTTCCTTCCCTTGATTGCGTGTCCCCTTCCCTATTCGATCTCAACGAAATATACCGTAGTATAATGTCTCATATTGTTGCAAATATTTTATCTCACTCAACGCTATTGCTAGTTGAGCAATAGTTGTGTGTTTTTGTATATTATTGATACTACATGTTAAATGCAAAAATCCACAAAATAAATAAGTATCATAATGGAGGTAATGGGGTGGTTTTGGTTTGGCGAGAGAGCGGGTAAGAGAGAGAGACAGAGCGAGAGAGAGAGAGGATAGAGAGAGAAGCATAGCACAATATGGGTACTTCACAGAGATTCACGAGTGAGTATTAAAAATCTACAGTAGCGTAAATAGCCTATCAGCGGAAAATTGCATAAAAAAAACAAAAAATGCGGCCTAAAAATCCTGGCAAGACCCGTTTTGGAGGGATTTTATGAGAGAGCGAGAGAGAGAGAGAGAGAGAGAGAGAGAGAGAGAGAGAGAGAGAGAGAGAGGCGTTGGCTTGAGCATTATCACAGATGGCCGTGTCTTTGATTAACAAAAAAAATTTGACGCGTTTGACCCGAAGTAAGTTGAGCAAATGGCGACGGGAGAGAGAGAGAGATTGAGGGTGAGAAATACATATGATACAAGCGACAACTGCATGGGCCTCCGGGGCCCTGGCCATTGTCATTGATTGGCCCTCTTCTTCGTGTGGATGATCACTCGCCCCTCGGCGAAATCCGACAGCGACGCGCAGATCTGACGCACATCCCACGTGAACGTCGACTTGAATAGGACCACCTGAAAGAAGTGAATCTAGGTGTTGGCCCTTCAAAACCAACCTCATCGTTGATCGTATCGATTTTGGCGGGTATCCGGCCGTACTCCTTCGTCTCGACGTGCACCTCCTCGCCGGGCTTGTAGCTGAAAACGTGCGGATAAAACTATAAATTTCGGTCTGCAATTTCACGGGCTTTGGCCTCAAAAACGGCGCCTAACAGGCCGGGATTTCATGACGTATTCGATTCAACCGAAGATTCGACCGTAAAAACGAAGTCATTTTTCGTAGAATCGTTATGCTTCTTCAAAATAAAATTAATCAAGCTTAGCCTACCTCTTGTTGTTGTACACAAATCGACCCTTGCTGAGCACCACCTCGGCGTACTCGCTGTTCCGCGCCTTGCCCTTCGAGTCGGGCCCAAATGACTAAAAATAAAGGGTTTTCTTACCGCTTTCTAGGTCTATATGAAGGTTTTCAAGGGCACTCTACTCTTCTCCGATAGGGATGGCGATACGCAACACACGCGCGTAAAAATCACGTAATAGATTACGCAATGCAAAAGCGGATGTTTCGCGACGCAAAAAAGGCTTTTTTGGGCCCTGAAATAGAGCGATGGGGCTCACCTTTAAATCATCAGCTATCTCGGACTCCTTCAGCAAATACGTCTGGATCTTGGCTGACAGCGGAATCGAAGCTGGCGCAAGCTTTCCGCATTCGAATGGTTTTCGTATCGTGGGGGTCGGGAATCTGTAATTTTTGGATTTATAGGGGATTCACCGAATGGGCTTTTGACTGAAAGCCAACCGATTACGTCATGTAACAGCGTAAAAAACTCACGTCGGTGCTCGCAAAGTCTTTTTCGACGAATCGGCCGGCATATCGTTTTGGGGTTTTGTGATGTCCATGTTGGTGATGTAGGCTTCCGCCTGAAACGATGCATTTGTTCATTTCCTTAAGAATTATGGCATAAAATTCTGATGAAACTGATGCTTCTGATGAACTTTTTTTCCTGATTTGGGTCTCCGAATTCCCTATAAAATTAAACGGTAATTTTTAATTCAAAATTAACGTGAAGATCTTGTTCGAATTCGGGGAACTGGACTTTTAGCAGGGTTTTTATCAGGGGAATACATTTTTATATTTCCTTTATATCTCTTTTGAAAACCTGAAAATCTTGAGATTTTTTGCTCAATTTTTTGTCAGCTCAGTCAGTTGAAAATGCTTATTATAAATAAGACTATGTCAAATGCTATAAAAAACGCTTATGTTTTCTTATAGGGCCGTACACGATTACTGGGAAAAATTAGGTTTCCCCCTGCAAACCGCTCCCCCTCCGCTCCCGCTAACAGTGCAGTACCGAGAACCTCACTACCTACCTTTTTGATCTCCTTATCGTAATCGTTCAGCAGCTGCTCGACGATTTGTGATGCTCGCTTGTCGGATTCTTGCGTCGCCTAAACATTAACTTCCAAAAAATGGTTAAAATCCTTACTTCCTTCTCCTTGGCCTCAATTTCCGCTTCCAGTCGCTTCTGCTCGGCAGCCTCAAGCTAGATTTGAATTTAGTACATTTCAAAAAGGCGTTTTGGATTCTCTACATCGCGCAAAAGGCCTACACCCTGGAAATGTAGCCGAGAAAGCCTTACGGTCATGAATGGGAATCGTCGGGCCGCACAGCACGTTCGCTGGTAAGCCATCGACTTTCCAACGATCTAAACGAGGTGCAACGGACAATCGGAATCGCCAACCAGAGACCGCATTCACATTTCTAAGCGCTAATACCCTAATTCTACGCATTTTACGAGAGCTGCAGCTTTACAAAACGCCAAAACCCCCTCAATTTTTGGTTCTTTCGCATTATCGGGGAGCGCACTTTTTTATGTAAGTATAGTATGTCTAGTAACTTAATAGAAAGCGTTTTAATAGTGTTTTTAGTAAAACATAACTATATTCAAACTAGAAAAACTATTTAAAAACTCAAAACATGTTTTACAAAGTCAAAATTTCGTCAAAAATCGGTCGGTTTTGGTCAAAAGAGCGATATTGTGAAGAATTTTAAATAAAAATTTGTAAAGTTTCGTGTTTAGGAATAGCAAAAACCGTTTAGAAACATTTCTATTATTTATATTTGAAAAATTAGATCCTAAGAAAAAAGTGCTGGCCCCCGATAATGCGAAAGAACCCAATTTTCGAAGGATCTATTATTCTATTGAAAAACCAACCTCTGCCTCAACGTCCTCCAACTCTTTTTGCAGTTTCCGCCGCTTCGCGTACGCGTCGTACAGCCGCAACAATTCCGGATGGGTCTCGTTGTCGATCATCAACATCTCCTTCTGTAACCGCTCGATCTCCTCGTCCAGGGTCAATTCACGAGCGGGCTGAAATTGGTGTTTCCCCTTTTTTCAGCGAGCTTCGAATGACTAGCCGAGCTTTCTACCAACCTCCTCATGTTTCGGTTTCCGCCTCCTACTCCGCGTCTCCTTGGGCTCCGACTCCTCATCATTTTCTTCCTTTTGCTCCTTCGATTCGCGTGCCGACCTTCTTCGTGAAGTTCCGTTTTCTTTGGGTGCGGAATTCTGAAAGGTGTGTTTTATTAGTTAAGGCTTCCGGCACTTCTTCTATAGTTTGCGTAAAATCTGAGATTTTACGATAAATTTAATTGTTTTAACTCTATTCTTCTTTTCTCAAAGTGACCAAAATAACCTAAAACGTTATCAATTGCAGGATCTGTTCAAAAAATTACTTATTGGTTGGCTTACCTGTGAAGTGTCGGGGGTATAAACTCCAGGGCTTGTTGCGCCGGGATTATTGGCCCTTGCGCTCGCGAAGGGGAGTTCGTTGACATCTGAATAGAATGCTAGGATGAACAAATTATCTATTTTCGAAAATTAGGAAAACGGGAACTAGACAAAATTAGCCCCAAGCAACGAAAACGAGCACGCGGATAAAACGGGAATTTTTACAGAAACTGCACAATCCTTGCAAACAAAAAATTTAGCAGGATTCAGAAACTGTTAGCTAGCTATTTAAGAGGCTCGGAAAACAAAAAGGGCCTAAAGTTCAAATTTCTGTAAGGGTGAGCTAGGCCGGCAAAACGTCGCAAACCCCTCAAAAGCCCGCCAAACGTGTCTGGCAACGTCGCGAATGTAATTACAATTTATTTAGAAGAGAAACTGGTCTTCAAAACAACTAATTCAACAGGGGTGAGCCGTCCAAAACACGAGAAATTTCGCTAAATTTTCAGGAAAATGGTTTTAAATCTTTTGCAACATAAAAAGCATTAAAAATTAGCAATTTTCGGGGAGAAGCTTCAATTCGGGTGGGCGCTAGAAATGTTTCAAATTTCGGAAAGTGCATTCCATGGCGTCAAGGGAAACCGGCTGTGGGGGACGCCTCGTCGATGAGAGCACACTTTTTGGGGTGTGCATTGGAGTGGCGTGTTTGCGACGGGGACCGGGAACAATAGGCAAAGTGCATCTTCTATGGCGGTCACGTTTTGAAGCCGGAAACCAATGTAACATTTTCGTAAAACTTTTGTAATCTATACCAAAAGAAAGAGGACGTCAAGTTTTGTACCTTGTCGCGAAATCACGTTTGTCGAGCAGTGCCAACCTTCAAAAAAGCTCGCTAAACTCCCAAGTTTTTAATGCAAAATTATTGAGGTTAAACTTTATTACATTGCCTTTAGATATACGAAAATGAAGAAGATGTTTTGCTTTGTATTTTTTAGCGAAATCACACTTGTTGAGCCGCGCCAAGCTTTAAAAAGCCTGTGCAAACTATCACAATTGTTTAATGCGAAATTACCAAATTTAGACTCTATTAAAACTTACTAAACATATACTAAAAAGAAGAGGAAGTTCTGTTTTGTATTTTGAGCGCGAAATCACGCCCGTAGGACAGCCTGTCATGCCTGCGAAAGTTGCCAGGCTGGCGGCCTTTAATTTGAATACCTATAATTTGCATATTTTCTGTTGCTTCCTGCCTTCCCTCTGATCTAAAATCACATTATTTACCCCGGGCTTCTTCTCGAAATGCTCTCCATTCGCTCGTTGCCGGTACGTTCAGCGTTTTCGGGTTGCCCGGCTACTCCCCGCCGGCTTCCGGCTTCATTGGCTTCACCCTGTTTTTCACACTTCCGATTTCCAACCTTTGCTGAATCAGCTTGTCATCTGAAGGTATATTCCTCAATTTTCAGGGTCCCCTGGGGATGAGCTTCGGGGAATGGATCGACCGGGTGGAGCACTGTATGGTCGAGGGCTTCTGCGCCCCCTACTTCTCCTACCTCAACACCATCATGAAGCAGCTCGGCAAGGTGAAGCCTTATTTTGACAGATTTTTTGCCAAAGAACTGCCATTTTCGAGCGGATAGCCGATTTTAAAGCGCTACCAGCGGGCTCAAAACGAGGCTGAGGAAAAAATGCCACGGAAAGCTGGCTGGGTTGGTAAAAAAACAGAAATGTTTGGCTGATACCCGTGCGATGTACTTTTTCTTTGGTCTTATTTGTTTAATATCGTAAGGGGAAGTGTTTCTAAACGATTTTTACGATCTAACGCTCGAAAAGTTCTGTAATTTTTATCAGAAATTCTGAGGAAATCTAGTTTTCAAGCCAAAAAAGCAAAATATAACCTTTTATAGGTGTTCTAATAGTTGTTACATTTGAAATGTTGCTAGATTTTATCTTACCATTTCTAGACCCTTGGGGGAAACTACGCCATCCCCGATATTGTAAAAGTACCGGATTTTTTGCCATGTACGTTCTAGGGAGCTAGCGCGCGCTATTTTGGCTGACTTTTTAGCTAAATCTTGGCCCTCGAAATTAAAAAAAACGGACAGTAAAAGCCGTTAACGTCAAAAAATGTTATTTTTCCAGTGCCTGGTCGTCTTCGTCCACCTCATCACCATCTTCATCGCGATCACCGGCTTCTGCGTCATTTTGCCGTATGAGCAAAGGTAAAGCCACTTTCTGTTCGATTCACGACGATCTAGGTATCAGCCCCTGTGGCTTCTGGCCATCTACTCGGTGCTGGGCGTCTACTTCCTCATCAACATCATGTACCACTACACGAAAGCCCGGCTGCTGCCACCGCTGCCGGGATTTGGGGTTGGTATAAGTTAAATTTTTCGGTTGAATATTTTGGCAATCTTTCTCCTAACCACTCGTCTTGAAAATGCGGGAAAGCAGCGGCTTTCTTTTTCCAGTTTTTTATCTGGTGGTCGAGGTGAAGCGTTTTCTTGAAAACAGACAAGCCCACCCCACCAACCCAGAACCCTACCCCATTCATTCACCTCTGTTTTAACCCCCCCTTTTTCCCCCGCCCCCCCCCCTCCGTCTAATCTTTTCCTCTTTCAGAAATCAGGTGATCGCTGGTGCGTGGCGTGCCAAAACTGGAAATGCGATCGCACCCACCATTGCTCAGTCTGCCGAACGTCAGTTTTTCTCTCAACTTCTGATTCTTTCCAATGTAGATGCGTGCTGGGGATGGACCACCACTGCATCTGGATCAACCAGTGCGTCGGCAACCACAACCATCGTCACTTCTTCCTCTTCATCTCCCACCTGACGCTCACCGGGCTGATGATCGTTGCGGCGGGCGGGCACTCGTTCTACGACCACATTTTCATGGTAATTTTTATTGTTTTTTTTGGCAGTCGAATGGATTGATGATTCTGGCTGTCGTGGAAAACATGAATCTTGTTCTGAAAGGGCGCAGAAATCTTCACCCGCATGAATAGCCAGCAAAATTAGTCCATTTTCAGTTCGACCACAACTACTGCAATGTGCAGCTCGACTACGCCCCGTTGCAAGGCCACATTTGTGAATTTGGCGAGCTGGCCAGGAATTCGAGTGGGTTTATTACGCTTAGATCCTTATCATTACCGGCGATATTTTTCTGTTTTATAAATATACAAAATATGGATTTTTCGACCAGCCTTTTGTATAGTTATAACTTACAATATGGCCATATGCGACGAACAGGCAAAGCCGGCTTTTTTCATTGCTAGCCGTATCTCATTGACAAAAAAAAAACGTTTTCTCTCCTCGATAATGAAAAAGAAACCATGTAACCATTTTTTTATCATCGTTGATTCGCTAGAGTGCGCTGCGGTTTCCATGAAAACAACGGAAATTTTCATTTTTGCCTATTTTTCGATTTTTAGTGTCGAAAATTTCATTTTTTTCAGTCATCTTCTGCTACATGCTGTCCTTCCTGCTCTTTCTGCTCGTCGGCGGGCTGGCGTTGTGGAACGTCTACCTCATCTCCAAGGGCTTCACCTACGTCGACTACTTGGTATCAATTTTCCACCTTTTCACAATTCACATCCTCTTTTCCAGTTTTCCAAGTTCGGCAAGTGTCGCTTCCTAATTGAAGAGGTGATTACACACATTTTTCAATACAGAGCAACAACTCGGCGGGCGCTTTTTCGAGGGCCTCTTGTTTATTGCCCTCCGGGTGCTTTTGCAATATCTGGGGGTTCTTCCGATGTCGAGAAATGTCTAGTATTTTATATTTCTGTTAGTGTTTTTAATAAAATTTAAGTAGATTTGAAGCGGAAAAACAAAAAAAAGCATAAGAACCAATTTTAGTCCAGAAAATCTATATTTTTTGTATTTTTTCATCAAATTTTTGAAGTTTTTTCCAGCTTGGATTTAATGAAAAACAGTTTAGAAGCACTTCCGCTGTATTATATCAGAAAAATCCTTAGAAAAAATCGCCGCTCCCAGCCCCCGATAATGCAAGAGAACCTTTCTCCAAAACGCGCTTGCAGCGATTATTTGTGTGGTTCCATGGCAAACCGTGTTTTTCAGAAAGGCTGGGACGGCCGTCCTACCGGCTACCGCAACCCCTACCACCACGGCTTCGTCGAGAACTGGCGCAACTTCCTCGGGCTGCGGCGCAACCGGACGTTCCTGCGCCATGTGCTGCTCCCCTCGGCCCACCCGCCCATCATCCTCGACCAGAACGGCGAGCTCGAGATCGGCTTCCAGCCGCTGAACACCCACGCGAGCCGCAGCGAGTCCGACGAGATGCTCGTCTAATGAAGCTCGTCCCCATGTGTACAGGTTTACCAAAAAAATCCCCTCTCTGTCTTGACGGAGAAGGGTGGGATCCAAATGTGAGTTAAACCAGTCGAAAGCCCTGGAAACGGCGAGTTTGCCAAACAACCGCATAACAGTGTTGTTTTTATTAAACGCGCCGTTTTATAGATTTGAAAAACATGAAGGAGCCGCTTTTGCTTTTGAGTTGAAAGGGCAACTTTCGCATTTTTCTTGCGCGAGGTAAATTTGCTCTTTCGGCAAGCTCGAAGAGCAGCTGAATTTTTAACAAACTCGTATAGAATATCGCATTTAGGTATTAAAACACGGATATGTAAATTGTTTGCAAACTCGCCGTGTTCCGGGCTTTCGAATGGTGTAACTGCCACTCCGATCCGTCGACTCTGTCGAGATTGACCGGGTATTTTTTGGGACAACCTGAACTCGTCTTTCCCGTCGCTCATCCCCATTGTCGAGATTTGTTTTTTTTGCTTCCCCGCCCCCTCAATGATCTGTGATTCGAATCTCATATCGAGTATAAACCGCGGTGCCCTGATTTTTGTCCTTCCCTCTTTTTTCAGACTGGACGTATTTCGTCTAGTACTACCCCCGTACCTCTGTAATAATGTAGCCAACGTATCCACCGCTCGTCCCCGCCCCGTTGCCTTCCTCGAGCTGTGATATAGCATTTCCCCGCCCGGGTGCCCCCTAACTTGTTCAGAATATCAATTGCTCCCCCGATTCCCCCCCCCGCCCACCACTACGCATCATCGTTTGATCATCTGTGTACATGTCCACATAATAAAGCAGCGATAACCCGTAAAAAGTACAAATTAAAGAATTTATTGTGGCCAGGAAAACTCGGTGCGGAAAGCGTGGACTTATTGCGGCAACTCTTCGGCCGCTCGGATGTTGTTGTTGGTGGCTGGAAAAGGCGTTGGAAAGTGGATTTCCGGTAAATTTGTGAATTTGGAGTGGCTACGGTGCCGTTTACATAATGGATCTTTGCTCAACGTTGTCCTACCGGGTTGTAAAGGATACCAAGATACTCGCCAGGCCAAACCGAACATTTTGGTAAACTTTGCGCCCCTGTGTACAAACAGGGAGCCAAGATACAAGGGTTAACGTAAACCGTAATGGAACCAATTTTTTAGGTAAATTTCTGAATTTTCGAGCGATCCTTGGAGTTCTTGGGAGCTTGAGATGTCACATAGCTAATTCAATAGAGCTTTAATTCTGGACAAAGCCCATCTTACAAAAAATCTTACAAAAAAAGCAGGATAAGGGTTTTGGAGAAAATTCGCTTCGGAAGCGCCCATTTTGCCCATTTTTCTAACAAAATTGTATCTTTGAGAATCTTTTACTCGAAGACCTTATCGAAAAGTGCTTTTTGAAAGATGGGATTGGTTCGGAATTTCAAGCTCCATCGCTCTCTGTCGAGCTATATCACAGCGCAAAACTCGCAAAGGCTGCCTAACCAGCCCAGATTTACATTCGCTTCGCTCTGGGCTGACATCACAGTTCCCAGTTATGATTCAGAAGACGTTTTCCGGACCAGGGAAAGCCCCGCCGAAATTTCGCCCAAAAACGAGAGAATTTGTGAAAAACAGTAGCTAGCCGAGGAGCTGGGCGGGCCCGCTGCGTGATAAGACGTGAGAAGGGGGCGGCTGCCGCTACGCTGGCAATGTAACACCGGCCACACCTTTGGAAGTGGAAGGTCAGAATATTGAGGGCATTTTTTGCTGGGGAAAATGATGATGTTTTGCGGATTTCTAAACCATGGCGGGACGCGGCGAAAAAACTACGAGGGAGGGATGGGCGTGGGAGATTTGAGGGTTAGAAATTGTGAAATCAGCGCGCTTGTCGTGACAAACCAGCTGTTTTTCGCGGCAAAAACGGGATAAACTCTGGTGCTGGCCGGCGTTTCCACGCAGCAAAGTATCGGAATAAGATCGAAATTTGACGATATGTGCTAGCTACCACTTTTAACAACTATCAACCAAAAACTGAGCGAAACACCAACCGGTACACTGCTCGGAGCACTCGGGCAACCAGGCGGTCACCCCCGAACGCTCGTATTCACAGCCCCACCAGCCGCCCTCGATGCCGGCCCCGGTTTGGAAGGGCAATTGGTAGCAGCCGATCAACTCTCGGAAGTCGCTAAAAAGTATTGCGTTCTTGCCGTAGGCGGTAGCTGCTCGGATTGGTAGCCGGCAGCCCTGCTTTTTCATAGCTAGCTCGTTCGCACCGGAAGCTCCGGTAACTGGCTACATGTAAGTTTTACGCGACGTATCTATTGCAACTTCTGAAAGCGTGCTCGTGGCCAAAAAAACTCTAAACGCTAGACTGACGTGGTCACAACTTTAGGCGCTTTTTGCGAAACTCACGCGCAACGGTTTTCCCAGTTTGTGTTGACGTTGTTCGAGAAGGTATCCCGGCAACGTTGCAGCTGGGTGGCGTAGTTGATAAAAACGTTTCGGATCGTCCCGTCGTTGTTAACGTATGCTAAAAACATCGATGTGCTGCGCGAGTCGTCAAAGAGCCAATTTTCTGGTGGAAAAGGATGAATAAGCTTTTTTGATGCAGTAATGACATCAGGGCCGTCGGAAAAGTTTAGGTAGTTTTGTAGCCATAAAACCGAACCATTAATAAATTATTTAGTTCAATTAAACGGTAAAAAACCTACTGTCAAGCCCGGGGCCGCAAAGGAAAGAGATCTGCGAGTACACGGTGAAAATGTTGATAGCCTGACCGGAGTTGGCGCCCTGCATGACGTGGAACTGAACGGAAAGCTTGAGAAAAAACTTCTAGACGTCGAAACCTTGACACTTTCGCAATCCTGAAGGGTGCGGCCGAGGCATTTCATCCAGTCGGACCATGCGCTGAAAAAGTAGGTTTGTAAAAACGGTTTTAAAGGTTTTAAACGTTACAGGCAAAATGCTTCAGTTTTGCGATTTTGGACTTACCGGTAAGATCAAGCCTCTGGTGCGGTTGGGTCCTTGTTTGGTCTGGTCGGGGGGGGTTTAGCCTCTTACACCATAGCTAGTTCCAAAAAAATACCTGCAAACGGTAAGGCCTCCGTCCACAGAGGTACCGAACATGTTCTCAATCTCGGCACGATAGCAGTTGACACGATCCCAGAGATTACCTAAAAAAGGTTGAGCGGCTTCTTTAAAAAATGTCAATTTCTCCCGAAGCCGCATTATTGCTGCGAGTACTTCCTGGTGTAAAATCAGGGATAGAAAGTTGTTCACGGAATTCAGGATCAAAAGCGAGAAACCTTCGTTACGAAAAGCAAAAATAAATTCCATGAGGGATCGGTATCGCTAGGGCTTGGTAATCAACTTTCAATGTTATAACTTTGTTTGTTTTCAAGTATCCCTTGCTAAAAGTTGCACCAATCGATTCGTCTCATCGATCTCTACAAAATGAGTCGCTTTACGAACGTAAAATTCGATGGGGCGTGGAGAAGAACCCCTTGTTAGTTCCAGCTTACCATTGCACTTGGTCAAGTTCAGCGCCATGCCAAAGTTGTTGTCGCAGCAGTTGTAGACGTCCACCTCGCAAATGCGGCCCTGTGGTTGCTTGCACACATCGGCGTGGAGGACGCCTAGGGGGTAATAAAAATAACAATAATAAATTCTAAGATACGATTATTTGTAGCAATATCCACAGTCTGCACGCGCGCGATAAAATGCCGCTTTTACGCGCTGACATGGGTCACAAGCGTAAAAACAAAGTTAAAATAAACGAATTAGAACGAAAATCAGCAGCATAAACCTCAAATGCACTCGGTAGCGGCATCAGCCGCTTTAAAAACTACCGCTTAAAAGTTAAAACCAGCTAATTCGTATAAATATAACACCAGAAAGATGCTCACCGACAAATACGGCGAGTAGGACGTAGCGAAGCATAGTTTTTCTATTCCTGGCCGTTCTACCGGGGGGTTCCCTCTAGCAGAAGAAGCCGAATCCGCACGGTAGCCCTTCTACGCTGCGCTATCGTAAATTTTGCCACGTTATCGCGCCTCGGCTGGTGGGAGTGAAGAGTAATCAATTCTCACCCCCACCACGGCACACGTTACGGTTATCAGGAGATGAAAGGGTGGGGGGGGGGCTGAAACATGGCGAGTAAACGCGGCTCCTGAAATTGGGTCTAATGTTGGCTCTTTTCGGGGGATGGATCCAACTGAAACTCGTCGTTGAGAACGAGAAAATGGTTGGAAAAAGGGATGCGAAGACCGGGCCCATGAAGGTCTAGGACAGACCCTGGATATCGGTCACTAGAACCCTAAAACGACATTCCTTTGGCTGACCCTTTAAAAAGATAATATAGGCCTTTCTGGGCCATTTGCATGATAATCCTTACCCCCATGCAGGGTGTCACCAAAAACGAACCATCTGGAATTTCGCCGTGTTACACCCAATCGGTCCCAAAATTGGATGAGAGGTGTACCAGGCCTTAAATAACCAGAATCCTGACTTATAGCCCCGTAGCTACAGTAATTCTCGAGTTCTAACAAAAATAAACTTTATTTTCCATTTTCCATAGGGTTTCCGTGGAGTTGGACCCCCTTAACATCAAGTGAAAATGATTCGCTAGCCCATTCTTATCGTGATCGTTTTGCAGATACTGCCCATTTGAAACTTGGTTGGATTTGGAACCTCCGTGGACATTCAAAAGCGTCTCGTCGGCCGCACCTTGAAATTCGTTTCAATTTAAATTTGAAAGTCGGTAATTCGAAAATTTTGGCCTTCTTTTGACATTTTTCATACATTTTTGACCAAAAAAGCCAAAATAATTAACAAAGTTGTAACGAGTGGACTTTTATATGGTATTTATGGGCTCTTTATAGCTGAAAGCCATGCAAAATGATATCTAAAAAAATGGGCTATAAACTGTCTGTAGGTCAAAAAAGGGAAATTAGATTCCCCCTGCTAAAAGTCCGCCCCTCCCCCGTTAACTCACCAGTACCGTTTTTCGCGAGAATCTCTTTGTGCTAATTCTGGCGGTCGCTTAAAAAAAGTCTGTTGACGGAATCTGACAAGACGTCGAATTTTCGTTGTAACAGGGATCGGGCTTCCAGAGAAAAAATTTATTTCCGCTTGAAGATCGCTGAGACGGTTAAGAAAATAGTTTAGAGGCTCGTTTTCTCAGGGGAGCCAAGAAATTCCAAGCCACCCGGCTTACTTCCAACACAGCCATGAATAGAACACAGCCAAGAAGAAGTAGGATGATCGTCAAATAAACTTTGGCAATCATGACAAAAGCTTCTTGTTCTTCTTTTTGCGCTTCTGGGGCTTTATTGGATTCGTTGGAAGCTTCGGTGCCGTTCTAAACAACCTAGTTAGCATGGCTCTGAGTTTAACCGGAAACCCGGTAAGATCTGGAAGCTTACGACTCAGTCGCCTACAATGTAAAAGGCCCTTACTTTGCTTGTTTCTTCCGGTTTTTTACTTTCCGGCTTACGTAGTAGGTCTTCGATGGCTCCGCGCACTACCAGTCGCTGAACATTGGATTAGTTTTTTTTTGTATTTAGGACCCTAAAGGAACGGGCATAGAATGTCAAATTTTCGGAATTTCGAGGTTTAGTTAGAAACTTGAGTATTCGTAATCTCAAAAATAATAATCGCCATTTTCATAATTTTGAATTTTCAAAACATGGCATGGCATTTTTTAAATATGGTTCTTTCGGGCTGCAAAGTAAGCTCTTAGTACATATCAAATGGCATTTTCAAAATATCGAAAATGTTCAAAACCCAGAAAATAGTCCCCCCGTTATCCTATGTGCTGCCCATAGTTGTCAAAAACAGTTTTTAGGCTATAAAACTTTTATAATAAACACCCACAACCCCTTCGGGCTGCTGGAATCCCTCTCTGCGACCCCCCGACCACACAGAAACTAAATAAATTTCTATTTTTTATTTTCATTCTACAGGGACTCAAAATAATAAAGCTTTACTTTAAATTATTTTATCGTAATTTGGGACGATGAAAGAAGGGGTGAGGAATTAGGATGGAGGGACCGACAATATCCAAACATTATATTTTTTCCGCGTCCTAACAAATTTATTAGTATATTTTTTTGGTGTTCAATCGATTCGCGTTTTAAAAATATCGAAAATCTCAAAAATTTTATTTTTCCCGAAACGACAATAACGATCACCGAAAAGCCACGTTACCTCATATTTGTAGGAAATTTGATTCCAATTCTCGTCAACAAAATGGATGATTTGGTTTGCGGTGAAGGCGCTGGAAAGGAAAGGTACTATGCTATCACAATTAATTATAAGTGGCAAACTTACCTAAGCGTCACATATTTCTCCTGGTCGATCTCCGCAAATTGCGGTGCGTCAAACACAAAATATCTGTTCGGATTTGCCTTCAGGACCATGAACTCGAGAGTCCCATTCTTCTGACCCCGGTCTTCGAGTTTCTGAAGACGTCTTTTTTGAGAAAATGCCTTGGTTTCAGTAAATGTTTACCGTTCTAAAACGCTGAGGCTTGCTCGAAGATTTGGGCAAGCTTGGGAAAGTCAAAAATTGTAAAATTTAAATTCTCAGAAGCAAGAGGAAGCAGAAACGTTGCTACCGGCTTGTCGAAACTCTTTTGTCGAAATTTCCCTTTGTAGCAATTGCATTTTGCGGAAATCCATTCCGCCCAAGCCGGCGGATAATTCAAATTTTTGGGTGTTGATTCGAAAAAATGAATTACGAAGAAACGTTAGTAAAAATGTTGCATAGTAATTTTAGCCACGATTAACGCGCACAGAATCCTTTTTAAAGAAAGGATTCACTCAAAATTTATCGCTCTCTCTGATGACAAAACCGACCCGTAAGTTTTCCAACGTCGGTGTCCATTCTGCGTCGCGACCATGGGCCGGAGTGCCACCTAGCAGCACTCTGCTGAAAACCAGCACAGTCATTTGGCGCTTAAAAGAAATCCGGGAAATTTTTTATAATTACCTTTAAACGTCAAAAATTTTGAAAAACGCTTTCCCGGAAGCCTTTCACGGCGCGCTAGAGTAATTTGGAGTAGTGTGGAGCGCATAAATTGTTTAAATTGCAGAAAATGAAGCTATTTTATTTTTAGACCAGGGTTGAAAAACCGCGCACCAAAACCCCCCAGTTTCTCTTCATCTGGGTGGGTTAATGGGAGTTTTGGTTCAACTGTGTGGGGGGGGTAGTTGGGTGGGTGGGGCCGCTTCGCGGCTTTTCAACCCTGGCCCCGTCTAAAGCACATGGTAGTCAAAAATATGCATATTCTTCCAGGAACTTGATCGCAAAAAAATCAAAAGAACCCCTTCTGCGCCCTTATATAGGCTTACCCCACTTCCGGCGCATGCAAATTGCCTCCTAACAAAGAGGTTTCTCGATATCTTTACAAAAACTCAATTTTAATAGCGAAAACAGTAATTTTTCCGAACTTTTATGTGTGTGCACTCATCTCGGCGCCATTACGCACCTAATGACGTATCATGCGACCCTTAAAAACCTTCCCCTGAGGCTGTAGGTGCGATACATACTCACGGAAGTTGCATGCAAATATACACACACACACAAAACACTATTTTTTTATATATAGTAGGATTTTAGCCCTTCCTCGGATACTATCCCCTTCAGAATGATTAAAAAACGGGCCTCTGAACTATATTACCCGAGATACGGTACTTACTGGACAATGTAGGCTTTCTCGTAGCTGACTTCCGCGTATTCATCGCCGGCAATGATATAGAACTTGCGAGGCTGGTGCTCCGTCTGAACCAGCGTGTATGCTGATGTTGTGGCCACGAGCAGCGCGAGGGTGAGATCGAGCCGCATTAACGTTACGTGAGCGAGCCGGGGGTATAGGGGGGATTGACTGAACTGACTGTTGAGCGCAGAGCTCCTCATTATATACCCACAAAAACTGCCCCAAGGCATCAATTTGAATCCCGCCGTTATGGGTAGGCACAGAAAGGTCGATGGGTCGCCACTAAGGATCTTTAAAAGCGCTCGGAAGTCAAAATTGGTGCTTGCGGGGATTGAACCGACTGGTCAAAAACGAAAGGGTCACTGCCGAGAAGGACCTGAGAAGTGATTTCGTTGCGCAAAAAAACGTGAAATATTTGAATAAAACAGAAATGTTCTCCGGGCCCCCCAACCCCCCCCCCCCCCCAATTCCCACCCCCCAACCCCCCCCCCCAAAACCCCCCACCCCCAAAACCCCCACCCCCAAAACCCACCACCAAAGCACAACCGCCCATGGGTCCGGTCCCCGATGGCTCCCGGGAAAAGGCGTCTGTCGGGTTTTTGCCTGGGGCGGAAATAGCAGCATGATTTTACCCCGCAGGCTTGCTTCGCTGGCGCGCGTCTTCGCACGGTTGCGGTCTTTCTGGGTTTCCAATTCTACCGGACGTTTTATTAGGCGCCGGGCCGCTGTGCCGGGCAAAGTGAGTTGGAGTGCGCGGCGATCACATGTCGTAATTCCTTGCAAGGTACCCAATCTCTTGATCTCTGTCATTCTTTTGGTCAATTTTCATAATTAAATTGTCTAGAATGATCAAAATTCCCTGAGGATGCCAGAAATAGCGTCAGAATTTGTAAATTCAAGCGTTTTCACGTCCAAACACGGGAAAAAGATCATGCGGCGCGGTCGCATTTGGCTATTTGCCAGGAATCAACACAGGGTCCGTGGACCAGGTTTCGGAGCCCCCTTAAAACCACATAGTCCTCTAGACCGTTCCTTCAAAACGAGAATATGTGCTTTTTTTGCCTCATTTACATAGCAGATACTTTCAAAACCACATCGTCCTCTTGGATGTCCGATCCACGGCCCCAGTAGATAAATAGGGTGCTGAAGAAGGTGCAAAAACACGTGGTGTCAATGGGGATCGGGCGGCTAGCCCGAAACCCGTCCTCTCTCTCCTCTTTGCAGCGAGCACCACTCTTCATGCTCGAGGGGGGGAAGCGAAGGAGGCGCAGCATGAACGATTGAATCCAGCTTGTCCGAGTTTATGAATATTATACCGCGCTTACTACGTTTTATTCCGGTTATGAGCGTTTTTATGAATTTTGATTTTGCGAGTCTTGCCACGGCCGAGACCGGAAAGATTGTTCTACTATAAGAAAGCTCTTAAAAAACGGAGAAGAGGGTTTTTTTTATCATATTTTTTCAAGAAAATTATTTCCATCTGATTTCGTCGATTTTCTTGGCTCTACCTTCATTTATTTTTGTGGATTCCTTAGCGGATAAGTTTTCGGGTGGGAAATCACTGAAAATTGTATGAAATTATATCGAAAAACCGGAAAAATCGTTTGGTGAAGCAAAAATCGTGTATTTAAGGAACACCTTCCGCAAAAATACGAAAATTTGGGGTTTCGAGGTTTTTCCAATTAAATCGCATTTTTCCTTGAAATCCCCGGCGCGAAATCCTTGCAACAGCTTTATCTCGTTACAACGTTCTCATTTAATGATGTCCTTTTTCAAGTATTTCCAAGTCAATTTTGCAGCGACAAAAAGTACCGGCTTCCGCTTCTCTGCTTCGGCTTGCTCACCTGTATGCGATGGTGGATGAAGTGAAACGAACCGGCTGTTCGAGCGTCTTCGTCGTGTCTGCACTCTCTCATTCTGCCCTCCGTCTCTACGCGGCTATCGTCTTTGTCTTTGCCGTAAGCTTTCACTTCTAGTCCCTAGCCGTAAGGGGATTTCAGCACAAACATTCGGCGGATTTTCTGAGTCCGATTTTTTTGGTACTGGACTCTTTGCAGGGGAGAATTTTTTAGCGGGGAAACCCATTGTTCTCCAGTTCCTTACGGCTCTATAACGAAATATAAAGCGTTTTTCCCCGGTTTTTACACATAAAAACACTTAAAAAGTAAAAAAACTTCATGAATTCTGGGGTTTTGGTCAAAAACGTATAAAAAGGGAGCAGCAAAGATTTCCAAGTCGATTTTGGTCATTAAAAAGCTTGAAATAGAGTCAGGATTACAGTAAGGTCCTCGGAATTTGTAAATGCCAACGGTTTTACGTCAGAAGCGGGATCAATACTTTGCGCACGCAGTCGCGTTGCGGCAGTGGTTGGCTATAGGCCTCTCACCCCTTTAAAGGAATAGTGACAATGATCGTATTGCATTTTTTCAAGGCCCTAATCGCACACCAATATTGGGAGCCGTCAGCCTCGATCAGCGATGAACTACGGAGCGGAAATCAAACAAATTCCACTGAAAACGCAACGGTGACTGTCGGCGAATTGACGCCGAAAATGGCTGCACCGGCACAGATGACGCGAGACGAATTTTTGGGGAAAGTACAGGTGCGTAAAAATAGATAACTTTTTTGTAAACGTACTTCCAGACAAACCTCGGCTGGTATGGGGCGGATCGTGGAGTATTCTGCGGGGATGAAGCTTGCTTCTACGTTAAGGACACGTTCGGTGGGGTTACTGTGGGGTAGGTGCCTTTTAGAAAGCGTATCAGATTCATTTAGTGATCGCCCAGTCCGTGGTATCTACATTTTCGGGTTTGGCACCGTCGCCGTTTCGCAAGCCATTTTGAACATTCCCGACGGCAAGTTTAATTTTTCTGGGATGTAAAATTACCAGCTAGTTTCATATTTAACGTTACGTAAGAAAACTATAAACTCTAAAAAGTCAAACGTATCCTTTTCCAGAATTCACCGAGGCCAATCTGGACACGGTCAGCTGGAGCATCAACAAAACGTTCGTCCAGCCGATCGGCTACATGTTTCCGGTGGTGGCCGGCATCTTCGCCTCCCAGGCACTACCAAATGACGGTCGGTTTTGAGAGGGAATTAAAGGGGCTGGAAAGTCAACCTGGAAACTAGCCACCCGCGGCCGCAACGCGACCGCGCCCCACGTTGCTTAGCCCATTTTTGGTCATTAAAGCGCGCTTGCTAATTAATTGCTAATTTTGATGCCACTTTTGGAATCCTCAGACTACTTTAATTGTTCTAATTGTTTTAACATTAAATTTGACCTAACTGGGTTCCCCAGAGGGCATTACATGTAATTCCGCCCAAAAGTCTACCTTAACTTTTTGCCTTTTCTCAAATATTTGGCCTTTTTCGCAGCTAAATCGGCCACCTGATGTTTCTTAGCTATCTCCCTTAATTTTCTGCCCCAGCGGAAACGTTCGATTTTTGCCTTTCTAGGCCCCTGAATCGTAGCCTCGCTTTCAGAAAACACCGATGGCAACGTGCTTTTCCTTGGGCTGGGCGGGGGGGACGTTGAACAACCTGCTGACGGCCGGCTATCCAAATGTAAGTGGATTTTTGCGGATACTTTAAGCTTTTTAGCTAGCGTACTTCAAAACCTCAAAAATTTAGATAAACGTCACCTCGGTCGACATCAACCCCGTGATGAAGGAGATGGCCGTGCAACTTTTTGACAATGTTGAGACCGAGAAAAACCATATTGTCATCGTAGATGGGGTGGAGTTTATGAGGGCTGAGATTGCGAGGGGTGAGTTTTAATGAGTTTAACTTTATCATGTGTATAAATTAACGTGTATTAACGTATCCAAAAAGCTATAGTTTAAATAATGGTAGTTTTAAACGTATAAGTTTGATTTTAGAAGCCCATTACGACGCGATTATCGGTGATGTATGCTACAATAATGGCGATAAGCCGAATATATGCCCGATCGATTTGTTCCTGGACGATAACGTTGCCGCGTTATATAAGCAGCTCTTGAAACCAACGGGTACGACATTTGACACTTTTTAGCGAGTCAAAACGCTTGAATTTGATAGCTTCTGACTGTCTGATAGTTTTTATGCGTTTGAGACTTATTTTCCAACTTTTTTCCACATTTTAGGCGTTCAATAAATTCATATGCCTTTATAGAACTTTATCGGAGTTTCTGATATATATAAACGATGGTTCAATGCTGTGAAAACCAATTTTTATTAGCTTACTAAATTCTGGTAGATACCTTATCGTTGCAACGGTGTCTTTTTAGGTTTCCTGGCCCATAATGTCGTCGCACGAGGCGAGCTGACGTTCCAGGATGAGATTATCACAAATGTGGGTTATTTCTAGGTTTATTAAATGCGTATAAAATATACTAATCTATACTAATATACTAAGTCAAAGATCTCCACCGTTTTCTAACAATAGAGACGCTAAAATCGATACCAATTCAGATCCTCGCCCTGCACAAGCGTCATTTCGGCGAGGATAATTGCGTCATGTACAAATGTCATTCGATTAGAAATTTTGTGAGTTACAAAAATAATTTTAAAAAAGTAATAAATCCATATTCTCGTTCAATTTTTAGGTGTTAATGTGCCGGCCAAGCGGCATGCCATCCTCTGAAGACTTTCAACGGGTAGAGCGCGAATTCGCCGCCAGATTCGGGTACCAGATTGTCGAGGATCCGCTGTAATCAAATTCTATGTACAAAACAATTGTAATTTATTATATTTGATGAATCTGATACGTGTATGCACCGTTTTTATTACAAAACCGAGCAATAAATCATCAACTATATCAATTTTATTGTGGTGCGGCTGAGGCCGAATTTAAAGGGCTGGTTCAACTTTTAAAGCTTGGGCTGGTACCTTGGGACACTATGGGCGTAGCGATACCGCGCATGAACAGTCCCTCATTACGACAGCTATTAGATAGCCGGGAAATGCGAGAGGCGCAGACACAAAAACGCAGAGCGAGCTTTATTGGCTGAACTAGCCCTTTAACTCGATGGGGAAAGGAGCTAGAGCTTAGATCTCAACGGCCCTAGCTGAATTCGACTCTCCCGAGTCCAACCAAGTCAAAATCAAAACCTAAAAACTTCATTTTCATATTTAAAAATCGATTTTAAAATACGGCATTTTTCGCGGCAACGCATTGCTCTGTACACGTCTGAACATGCCGTTTGAGCATTTTCACGCGTAAACGTTCGCGTCCTTGAAATTTCTCATTTACGGTGTGCTATCCCCCTGCCTGCCGGCTAAGTTCTTACAGTTGTCGTGGGTCCAAAATTGCTTTGAGCAGGTTAGCAGCTTCATCCCAAGAATGGGGCTGTTCGTCGAAAAGACCCACGATAAACGAGTGTCAGGTGGCAAGCGCACTTTTTGTGTCGACATTATTGCCATTAAAGACATTGGGCCGTGACTAATTTTCTAGCAACAGATAATGGAGCGTCAGGTGGCACTCGCATAGGAGTTCGCTGTTAGCCAACAAGCTCATGGGCCAAAAACTGTGGCTTTTCCAAATGTTTTGTTCGCTTTATCTTTCATCCTTCGCTCTACTTCAAATTTTATGCTTTCAAAGCACTACCAAAACCATTTGATAAGTAGGAGATCGGCACAAATCGAGGAAAACAACGCTCATTTTGCTCTCCCGACCGTGAAATTGGTCTCCAGCTAATAATTTATCGTGCAAAAAAGGATCCTTCGTAGGCTATTTCGGGCATTTAGTTATTTTTTTCTGGTTGACCGACTAACTGGCCTAATCAACCAAATGTGCTACTGATCTTTAAAACTCGAGATATACCACTTTTAAAGCGATCCTTTAGTTAAAATCGTCAACTTCGAGCTCGATTATTTTGATCTTCCAAGCCGATTTTGAAAAACTAAATATCGCTATCGTATTCAGAAAATTTTTCTCTTTCGAATGAATTATCTGACTCAAAATTTTTTGAAACTCGAAAAAATTGACGTTTGATTGTGGCTTTTTTTTTGTATGGGAAACAGGGAAAAATAGCCTACTTTAATCAGCTGTAAGACGTCGTCTAGACGAAGCCTACCTTAATAAAAAATACCATTAGAATCAGAATAAAATTCCCTATCAGAAAAGCTACTTAAAATAAATTAGAACTGCAAAATAAAAAGTAAGGCATCATGGCAAAACCCTTCGCGGGGGCGAAAATCGACACTAAAGCTTTTATCTCGTGTTTTAAAGATCAGTAACCAATTCGGACAACGAGGTGATGATCAGTGTGATCGAGCTATCTGTGTGCAAATTTTCAGGCAATTCTGAGCCCGGGTTTGTTCGGCCTCCCCTAGTCAAAGCGAACATTCCAGAACTCTAGAAAAGCTTTCTAGAAATGGGCGTACGCCATCGCCCATGGCTTGCGATCTATGCGATGACGCTAGCCGCCCTGATCCAGCAGGCGATAACCGTGCCCATCGACATCACCACTACCTCCGAGCCGACGATTCACATCCCGATTCTGGCTACACCAGCGTACGCGACTGACAATCGTACGATTCACGTCCCGTTTCTGGCCACGACCTCGGATCCGACGATTTACATCCCGCGTGTGGGTACAACAACAGCCACGACTTCGCTCCCCAACACGACCTCGGATCTGACGATTCGCAGCCAGGTCCTGGCCACGACAGTGGTCTCTCTGCCCGACACGGCCGCGGCTCCGACGATAAACATCCCGTCTTCGGCTACAACAGCGGCCCTGAATTCGCTCCCCAGCACGACCTCGGATCCGACAATTCACAGCGAACTTCTGGCTACAACAGCGCTCACGACTTCGCTCTTCAACACTACCACCGGTTCGGTGATTGATAGCGGAGTTCGGGCTAAAACAGCGCCCACGACTTCACTCCTCAACACTACCCCCCTTCCGACGATTGATAACGAACATTTGGCTACAACAGAGACCCTGAATTCGCTCATCAACACGACCTACGATCTGACTAGTTACAGCAAATTAGTAGCTACAACAGCGCCCACGACCTCGCTGGGGTGGCATGATTTCGGTTACGGAAGTCTGGAGGTGAAGCTGCGCTCGAAAAGTGTCACCAACGAGGTGATTATGTATGTCCAGAAAGCGACGTCGATGCTAGAAGCGGCGTCGGGGGGGCGTCAAGACGTTTATGACGATGGTCCATAGTTTGAACAGACATTGGGCGTTTCAAGCAATCACCAAGGTCAACATGGTGACTGCCGCCATGTCACTGATCCTCGAGGTGGTCGGGCCGGACCCGTTGGAGGAGCAGTGCAACGCGATCCGCGCGGAAATCCGTGCGGCCGTTGACGTGATGATCAAGGCGATCAAGGGCTCAACGGACCATTTGGCGCACCTCATCGGCTCGTCGGCATTCAGGGTAACTTTTTAAACCGGGGTTATTTGGCAAAAATGGGAAGCGGATTAGGAATCATTGAAAAACTCTGCAAACATGATGCTGCGCCCAACAGAAAACGCCACCTCGACCCTAGAAGGTTCCCTTGTGCCTCGTTTTTCGGGGCTTTTGTGGGGTGTACGGCGTGGCATACAGTAGCGGTCAAAATGATGTCCGGTCGGGAGATCGCTTGTAATTCGATCCGGTTACACGCAAATTTTCCGAAAATTCGTGTCCTAATCAATTGTGCTACTGGCAATCTGATGACAATATCAAAATCTGCCACATTTTTAGTTTGATTTAGTTTTTTTATTTTCACCATTTTAAAACAATCGCGGTTTCATTATCAAACTAAAATTTCCGCAGATTTTGATAGTGCCATCAGATTGCCAGTGGCACAATTGGCTCGGACGCGAATTTTCAGAAAAATCGGATGTAACCGGATCCGATTACAAGCGATTTCCCGACCGGACATCATTTTGACCGTTACTGTATATCAAGTCTTAAACTCCCAAAAAGCATCAAAAAACGAGGCACAAGAGAACCTTCTAAACTCGAGGTGGCGTTTTGTGTTGGGCCCGGCATAGCTAACCGCTAACCCCTAACCGGGAACCGAACCCAAATACTCCTTTTTCCAAGGCGAGATTACCGATCCGATAAGTTTGGGACTCTACAACTTGAGGCAAATGTCATTGTCGAGAAATACGGAAACCGTCGAGGCATATCGGCTTTGGTGTCGCATGACGCCACCGGTAGCGTTGGCCAGTCGAATTCTGTCGCGGATCAACGGCGCCGACTCCATTATGCGCTCATTTCTCAAGGCGAACAACTATAATGCCCGCGTTTATCACACGTTCGAGGTAATTGAATTTTCCGGTTGTTACGTTGTAATAGGCGGTTTCACTTACCGTAGTCTTCAAACGTATACAAACTCAAAACATCTACCTTCAGGTCGACATTCTACGGCATGTAAACAGCCTGGACCTACTCGCTGCCAGCTGCGCCTCCTTCCAGGTCAGCTTTTTGATTCAGGCATGTAGTAGTTGATTAGATGCAGTGGCCGTTCCTTAAAGGGGCTCGGAAGTCAAAATTCGCGCGTGGATGGGGGGGGTTGAACCGACTGGACAAAAACGAAAGGGTCACTGCCGCGAAGTACCAGAAAAGTGATTTCGTTGCGAAAAAACCTAAATAGATGAGTAAAACCAATAATTCTCCGGCGAAAACGACTTTTTGACTGAGCGGCGATTCCATGTCGTAATGCCTTGTAAGGCACCCAATCTCGGCTATTCTTGTGCAATTTTCATGATTAGAAAGTCTGGAATGATCAAAATTCGATGAGGATCCCAGAAAAAGCGTCAGAATTTTTATATTCAAGCGTTTTCAAGTCCAAACAGGGGCAAAAATCATCGGACGCGGTCGCGTTGCGGTCGCATCTGGCTATTTGCCAGGAATCAACGCAGGGGCCCGCGGACCAAATTTGCGAGCCCCTTTAACATTTTAAAATTCATTATAAAATCGCGGGTTTGGATAAATACATGGTTTAAAGATTGTTGCAACCTCCCCATTTCACACGCTTGCTAATGGTCCGGCAACGCTGCATAACAAAAACCCAGCCACGTTTTCAGGAAGAGGGCGCAAGGAAGGTGATCTTCGACGATCTACTCGCCATCGAGAAAGCGATCGGGCGCCAGTTGGAGGTCGAGGCGGAGGAGCTGCGAGGTTTTTGGCCAGATCTGGCGCGAGCTGACGTAAAAAAAGCCATTGATCAGGGCGGAAGCAACGCCGAAATCGCAGACCGTGCCTACAAGAAGTTGAGGTAAATCCTAAAACTTGAACCTACTGACCGAAAAACGAAAGGGTCACTGCCGAGAAGCCCCAGAAAATCGAATTCGTTGCGAAAAACGTAAAATCTTTGAGTAAAACCCAACGACTTTTGGCAAAAATCTGAGTGCGCAGCGATTACATGTCGTAATGGCTTCTACGGCGCCCAATCGTTGGATCTCGGTGATTCTCTGATCAATTTTCATAATTAAAAAGTCTGGAATGATCAAGATTCCTTGATGATTCCAGAAACAACGTCTAAATTTTGAAATTCGAGCGTTTTCAAGTCCAAACAGTGGCAAAAGATGGTGCGGCGCGGTCGCGTGACTATTTGCCAGGAACCAACGCTGAGGGGTGTAGACCAGATTTCGGGGCGCCTTTAAAACTCCTCATATTTTTAGCGAAACCTACGAGAGCAAATTCGCTGTGATCATTTACGATGAGGCGGACAGCACCTGGACCCACAGCATCTATGGCAGGC